GGCCGAGCGCCCTTCTGCCCTTTTTGCGGGGCCCCCGGGGACCCTCACAGATCGATCCGGCTCGAACCGTGCCACGGAAAGCTGGGGGTTCTACAGTCGGGATTCATTGGATAGGACACGCGATAGGACGCAAGACCCTTCCGAGGGCCACACTGCCATAGGAATGTAGGAGGCACGGGTCGCGACACACGGGGCACAAGGGTACCCTTGATTGGCAGGGTCGACCTGCTCATCGACCTCGACTGCAGGACTCCGCGCGTGGTTGTTTTTGTTACGATCTTGCAGGTGTGGTCGCCTCGTCGGATCTCAGCGGGGAGGCGCCCCGCCCGGAGCCTCGGCGAGCGGCTTCCTCCTAGGAGCAGAGGGCAGCGAGCAGGAGGAGCGGGCCGAGCAGGCGCGCCGGTGCCAGGAGGGGGAGGCCGAGGAGGCGCAGGGCCGGGCGCGGCGTTCGAGCAGCAGGGCCGTGAGCAGCAGGAGGAGCCCGAGGACGAGAGTCGGCGAGCGAGGAGAGGGCGGAGAGGGCCTCCTCCTCCTAGGGGCAAGGAAAGGCCACACCAACACCACCAGGGCAAGGAGATGCGAGGAGCAAAGGGGGGTCTCCCTGGTGGCGTGGTCCCCGCCTCTCGCTCGAGACATCCCCAGCTCGCGGGAAGGCATCGTGGACCTCTTCGCTGGAGGTGGCCCCCCTGTTCTCAGAAGGCGGCAGAGGCCCTCGCGACTTCCGAGAAGTTCTCCGTGCCTTCGGGGGGGGGGGGCTCAGAAGACTTCTCGGAAGGCCGGGGGACTCGCCGAGCCTCCTGAGAAGGCCCGCCCCCATCTCTAGAAGAAAACAAAAATCTGCATAAAAATAAACTTTTGGCGCTCCGCGCGGATTTCTTGGATCTGCGCTGGGCCCCCCTCCCTGGCGCGCGGAGCGCACCGAGGGCGGCGCCGAAGGCACCGTGGGGGGGGGGCCCAGCGCAGATCCAGGAAATCCGCGCGGAGCGCCCAAAGTTTATGTTTATGCCGGTTTTTGTTCTTCGACTCTCGGAAGGCCGGGGGACTCGCCAAGCCTCCTGAGAAGGTCCGCCCCCCCAGGAGAGCCGAACCGAATCGAAGCGAATCGGAATCGGAAGCCACCGAAATCGAATCGAACCGATTCGAAGGCATCGAACCGAGCCCTGCCCCCTCTCGGCTTCCACCCCGGGCTCGCCCCCGGAACCGCATCGCCGGGGGGGTTCCGACCACTCAAGGGGCAAAGGGACACACAAATAAATACACACACACACACAAATGACAGGATTCCCCATGTTTTCACATACTTTCTGGGTTCTTGTCTCCCACCCCACTTCCCATATTTTCCCATCTTTTCCTGGGAGTCGACGATCAATCGTGTCTGTGTGTTTTTCCCCTCCTGAACCACATCCGCTCTCGTGCCCCGTTGGGGAAGCCCATGGTCCTCGCGCCGTCGCGCCGACCACCACGGCTTGCGGCCAGCGGCGGCTGCGGGCTCGGGCTCGGGCTCGGGAGCGGCCGCGGCCGCGGGCGCGGCCGGTGCGGCAGCCTCCGCGGCGGCCGCGGGGTCCTGCAGGCGCTGGAGCTCCCGCAGCGTCTGCTCTGTGTCCGACCTTCGAGTAGGGGATCCCTAAAATCGGCTTCTGCGTCGAATCCATGGAGGATGCCGCGCCGTTCTTTCTGCAGACTCGACGAGGGAATCAAGTTTGGGGAACAAACATACTTTGGCAGTCGATGCCCTACGCAGGACCTGTTGGCCGCCTGCAGGTCGTGGAGCAGCGAGCGCTTCTCCGAGCGCAGGGCCTCCGTGGCCGGGGTGCCGTCCATGGCGTCCAGCGCCTTGAGGTCCGCCTCCAGCCTGTTGGCCTTCTGCAGGGCCTGCTGCTGCCGCGCCTGGAGCTCCGCCTCCGCCCTGCCGGCCGCCTCCAGGTTGTGGATGAGCGTGCGCTTCTCCGCGAGCAGCGTCTCCAGCGCCGGGGAGCTCTGGATCTGGCCCATCGCCTGGAGCTCGTCCTGCAGCTTGAAGATCAGATCCGCTCGGGACGGCGCCTCCTCGCCCTCGCGCGGGTGCCTCTGTGCGCGCGCGGCTGCTGGCGGCTCCTTGGCGGCCTCTGCGGGGTCCTGCAGGCGCTGGACATCCCGCTGCGTCTGCTCCGTGTCCGCCTTGTCGGCCGACTTCAGGATGTGGATGCGCATGCGCTTCTCCGCGCGCAGGGTCTCCAGGGCCAGGGTGGTGTCCAGCGGCTTCAGCGCCTCGAGGTCCGCCTGCAGCTTGCCGATCTTCTGCAGCCTCTCGAGGTGCCGCGCCCCGAGCTCGGCCTCCACCGTGTCGGCCGCCTGCAGGTTGCGGACCAGCTGGCGCTTCTCCGCCCGCAGCCTCTCCAACGACGGGGAGTCCTTCATGGCCTTCAGCACCTGGGCGACGATCGGATACGGGTCGTGCGCGAGATGGCACGGCGGCCTTACGCGGCGGCCCACGCGGGCCGCCGGCGCGGCACGCTGCATGGGAGGCGAGGCCGCTCACGCGCGGACCTGCGCGGGCAGGTTGCGCGCCAATGCCGGCGCAGTCGACCCCGCTTTCCTCCGTGGCTCGCCTGGAGCTCCGCCTCCAGACTGCCCACCAGGCCGGCCCGGGGCGACGCGGCCGGCGCAGGGGCCTCGGGCTGCGCCTGCGGGCGCGCCTGCAGCGGGAGCCCAGCATCGAATCGCGAAGCCGGACCAGCGATCGAAACGAGTCGGCTCCTCGCCATCGTTCGGACGTCCATTCCCTGTGTTTTTGTTCGGTTTCGTGCGTGGCTTTTTCGCCAAATGATCCTCGATGGCCCCCGCCGAAGGAAAAAATGCACACGTTCGAGCGATGCCAAGGCTCGGCAGGGGGATCGGCGGCCAGGCCGGGAGCAGTCGAATGTGCGGGCAACGGCAGGCCAGCAGAGCCTCCCTCCGAGGAGCCGAGGAGCCCGCGGCTGGGCACCCGCAGAGCCGGCGCCGCGAGCATATCGGAGCGACTCGATCGAAGCGAGCCGGAGGCATCGCAATTGAGCCCCGTGTCCTGCGCGAGGGCGGGCCCCGCCGGCCCTCCCGGCGCCGCCCGTGCCACGGGAGCCTCGGCCCGCGGCGCCTCCGGGGCCTGGGGACCGGGCGCCTCCTCCTCCTCGGCCTCGGGGGCCGGCGGCGGCGCCCGGCGAGGCTCGGTGGAGCAGGGCTTCTGGCACCCGGCCTCGGAGGGGCGAGCGTTCCACCACCACCACTTCCGCAGGTAAGACGCGGGAGAAGGGAGGATTGGGAGGTCCTCCTCCTCCTCCTCCTCCTCCTCTTTCCTCCTCCTCTTTCCTCCTCCTCCTCCTCCTCCTCCTCCTCCTCCTCCTCCTCCTCCTCCTCCTCCTCCTCCTCCTCCTCTTTCCTCCCTCTTTCCTCCTCCTCCTCCTCCTCCTCCTCCTCCTCCTCCTCCTCCTCCTCCTCCTCCTCCTCCTACCTATGGTAACCGTGGTGGGAAATCGTCTCATCAGCCTTGTTCTTGCCGTGGAAGATGTCCTGCATCTGCCTGAAGTTCTGCTCCTCCACGGTAGGGCTCGGGGCTGCGCACAGGACTCAGCCGCCGCAGGCAGTCCGAGGCGGACTCGGCAGGCCCGAGGTAGGGTCGAGACCACCCAGGGCGACCCCGGGGGGGGGCCTGCAAGGGCCAGCCCAGACTACCTGCCGGGGCTGTCGGCGCGCAGCCCCGCAGGCCCTGCCACTCCTCCGAGTCTGAGCGCTGGAACGTCGGGAACCAGTCCTGGGAGGACGAGAGCGATACACGTATGCACCGATCCTAGCCACATCGTTGATGACTCTTGGGTTTCCACTGATCCTCCTTCTCCTCCTCCTCCTCCTCCTCCCCCTCCTCCTCCTCCCTCCTCCTCCTCCTCCTCCTCCTCCTCCTCCTCCTCCTCCTCCTCCTCCTCCTCCTCCTCCTCCTCCTCCTCCCTCCCTCCCTCCCTCCCTCCCCCCCTCCCTCCTCCCTCCCTCCCTCCCTCCCTCCTCCTCCCTCCCTCCTCCCTCCCTCCTCCCCTCCCCTCCCTCCCTCCCCTCGACAGCAGCCCGAGCCCATGCTCGGCACACTCCCCGCACTCGGGCCCTCCTGGCCTGAGCCAGCCAGGGAGGCGCGCGCACCGATCCTGGGCCTGCAGGCCCTCGTGCCGCCAGAAGGCACGCCCGAGAAGGACCGAATGGGGCTCCTCCGGCCACGGCGCGCCCGAGGCCACCAACAGGCTCCTCCTCTCCCTCCTCCTCCTCCTCCTCCTCCTCCTCCTCCTCCTCCTCCTCCTCCTCCTCCTCCTCCTCCTCCTCCTCCTCCTCCTCCTCCTCCTCCTCCTCCTCCTCCTCCTCCTCCTCCTCCTCCTCCTCCCCCTCCTGGACACACATCGGAGGCACGGCCCGAACGCCCGAGTCCCTCCCCGGTCCCAGAGCGGTCCCCACCTCAGCGCCTTAAGACTGCGGGAGGTGGGCCCGGGGCGGCCTGGCCAGCATCGAGGCACGTGTGCAGCCTCTGTGGAGACCGAGCGGCACCGATGCCGCTGCTCACTGGACCTCTCCAGGGGCGCGTTCCGACCAGAGTTTCGACGCGAATCCAGCGGTGGCGACGAGAGCCTCCCGGGAGGCCCACAAGAAGAGGAAGGGCAGCGGTACCGGGAGCCTTTTCCTTCTCTGAGCTTCCGGGGGGATAGGACCCTCTCTGGCACAAAACCCTGCAGTGACAACGGCCCAGGACCAAACCTGGCGGACGACCGCGGCCGCAGCACCTCCTCGAGAATCCAGAGCAGGCGAATCGTAACAGTCATATAGCACTGCCAGAAGGAACGCTGCAGAAGGAACGAAGCTCCCCTTGGGGCCCCAGAAGCGCCCAGGTGCACGAGGAGAGCCAGAGGAGCAGCCACGCACTGACGCAGGGAACAGCGAACCCCCCTCCGAACCCAGAGCGGTCCTTGTTTCAGCGGCTTGACTGTAGTCGACTTGGCAGGGCGGTGCGTGCATCTCAGGGCGAGAGCGATGCCATGATGCGACTGTGGCTCAGGATGCGCAGGAATTCTGGAGCATCTGTCGGCCTTCGTTCCTGGAGCCCGTGCGGAACGATAGGGAGTCTGGGGAAGCTGGATCATCTTGGAACGTATTTAGTATCATGACTCCTTTCGCGCAGCCTCGTCTCTGTCGGGGTGGGGGGGGCGGTGACCGTGCCCAAACATCTGCACGAGTGTGACCGAAACTGGCGCCCGAAATTTTCCGACCGCAACAGAGAGTGACCGACATGATTGACTGGAACCTAGCACGACTTTTAGTTCTGGCTAGAATGTCGGTCCCACTATGTTTTCGGCATCGATTTCGGGCACGTTGCCGGTCACACAAACACACACACCATTTCGGCTGATACGGCAGGATCTAGGCCACAAGAACATCCATCAAGAACGCGAGACCCTCCGCCGGCCAAACTGACAAACATTCGAGGGCAACCTCCCCCAGGATGCACAGGAACATCCAACAGACACGAAGAGCAGTAGGGTAACTCTAGAGAAAGTCTTCAGACCCCCCCAATAGGGGGTAACTATTTTTTTCTGGAGGCCTCATTGAAGGACTGGGGTCCCACCATTAGGGGGTAACTCTGTTCATGTTTCGCGGCACCCGCCGCGCATCAAGGAGGTGGAGGGAGGAGGAGGAGGAGGAGGAGGAGGCTTTAGGACCAGTCCTATGCACCGCCGCGAGGAAAAAACAAAAAAAGGGGCGGACCAAGACTGGGGACCTGTGGCGGTCCGGGGCCGGGCGCCGCCCGACAGTCCGGGTGCTTCTCGAGGCCCTGCCCCAGCGCCCACGTCACGAACCTGTGGCAGCTGTCCCCGGGCACGGCGTCGAGGCAGTCGCCGGCCGAGGTCTCGTTGCGCAGCGAGAGGCCACCGCTCCGGGGCGGGAGCTGCCCGAGCAGCGTCGCCAGCAGGACGCCCGGCGCGCGCGGCATGCGGCCGAGGGGGGTGTGCGGTGGACGTCGGCGGAACCCAGAGGTCGGCACTCAACACCACTCCTCCTCCTCCTCCTCCTCCTCCTCCTCCTCCTCCTCCTCCCTCCCTC